CCCTTCCTTTCCTTCATGACTCACAAGTTGACCATGAGAGAGAACTAATTACAAAGGCCTGTCCAGAGCTGGGCGAGTGGAAAGTTTATCATAAATATCAATGCAGGGGCTCAACTTCCTACCAAAAACAAGCACCTCTAAGGAAACAAAACACTGTATTGCTATAATATGAGGGGTCCTCCAACACCATCCCACTTCCATGCCATTTCAGAAGGGAAAGAGTGAAAACTGGACCCTAGAAGAGGTAAAGTATGTGAAGGGATGGCCTTGCCCCTGTTGGTGGGCACTTAGTGTAAGCATGACTGTTTGTTACCGCCTATGGAGGATGGTAAATAAAAGAATTTCCTGAGTACTTCCTGGGTAGAGGGATGTATGGAGTACCACATGAATGACTTGGAGAAGGAGCCAACCATTCCTACAATCACCATCACCAACCACAACTACCACCTAACTGCCATAGACATACAATAAGCCTGAGAACCCTGGGAATAGCAGTGCCCCCCGGCTCACTGACCCCCCCAGACCACCAGCCTTGCCCCTAAACTGTCTCCCATCATTGAAGGGAACAAATCTTATGGAGAAAGAGCCTACCACCCCCAACAACACCACTACCACGACCACCACCACCACCTATGGACTAACTGGCAGTCAATAAACATTTTTAAGTGCCTACTATGTGTCAGGCACTGTGCTAAGTGCTGGGGATACAGATATGAAAAGGAAAGACAGTCCCTGCCTTCAAGGAGCTTACAGTCTAATGGTGGAAGACAACACACAAAAGGAGGCAAGCCAGCCTTGATCAGATAGCAAGGTGTCGGGGAGACAGGAGGCAGCATTTGCCATGCATACAGTAGGTCATAATAATAATAATAGCCAAAACTTGCATGGTGCTTTAAGTTTTGCAAAGAGCTTTATAAATATCTCATTTGGTCCTCACAATTATGGGAAATAGGTGCTATTATTATTCTTATTTTACATTTGGGGAAACTGAGTCAGACCTAAAGTTTAAGTGACTTAGACAGAGTCACCCAGCTGGTGTCTGAGGGCAGTTATGAACTCTAGTCATCTTGACTCCAGGTCCAGTGTTCTATCCCTTTATTAATATGTAAGAACACCAAGCAACTACCACCCTCTCAGACCCTGATAGAAATGGCCTATGCCCCAGAGTCCTCAAACCAAGGGAATTTCATCCTACTTCCAGAACCCTGGTCCTCCTTCTAGCCTGGTCCCCACAACCATCATCATCAAGGGCAGCAACCCTTGTGGAGAAGGGTTCCATCCCCATCCCTATCACCACCAAGCACCTTGGCAAACTGCCACTGGATAGGTAAGCCCAAGAGCTTCCCCACCCTATCCCCCATACCCTTGGGGAACACCAGGTCTTTCTATCTGACTCTGAGCTGAAACCTCCTCTACTTGTGGTCTCCCCCTTTAGAATGTGAATTCTTTGAGAACAAATAGTATCTTGTGTTTTCATTTGTACCCCTAGCATTTAGCACAGTGCATTGAATGCAGCAAATACTTAATAAAAACTTTTTTGTTCATTCATCTGAATCCAGGTAGAGCCTGGAGGACTGAGAAAGGATGGAAAACCCATTGAGTCAAGTGACTTACTTAGACCCCACCCCTCCCCCTTGTGTACCACTTCAGTCTCTGGGGAGGGGGAGGAGACTAGGTTCATTGGCTCAGTTCCTAGAGAGCACCACCATTCCAAATCCAAGTCCAAAGTCCTCCCTGGGCTGGTTCCAGACACCCTGGTTTCTCATGGCTTCCATATTGTCCGCTACCCCCACCCACAATTCTGGCTCCAATGTTGCCATATAATTCCCAGATCCATGAGAATCACATCTGGCACCTGAAAGCGAGGATAAGCAACACAGAACAGAAACAAACACCCCCAAGCCCATGTCTTGGAACTGGGGTAAAAAAGAGGATGGCGGTGGGAGGCTGGTATCACCTTCCCACTGGGTCAATTCGTGGTGTTTATGCTTAGCCAAAAAGAGGGCAGCTGAAAGATGGTGGAGAGTAATGGATGTGGTCTCACTACTTTTAAAGACACAGGTGACAATCAAGGAGGCTAATCCCACCCACTTAGTAGGAAGCACGCTCGGCTCCCTGTTGGACAAACTGGGCACGTTCAAAGGCCCAGGCTATACAGGGATCTAATTAGATAATAATTGTAAAGCACTTAGCACAGCGCCTGGCACACAGTAAATATTCCAGAAAGCTTGGTTATCATTATTAATATTAATCTCCTGTCTCTGGGCTTCATTTTCCTCATCTCCAAAATGAAGATGTTAGACTGAACTGTCTCCAAGTTCCCTTGCAGGTCTAACAAGCTACCTCTGACTCGATGAATCCTTTCTGCCACCAATCCTAGGATCCCTGGGATGCCCCAAAACAGCCTAAAACCATAGCCAGGGAAGAAAGAAGAGCAGGCCAAAGGAAGTGTGGATACACAGGGGACACTAACCAATGGGGAACAGCTAAATAATTTGTGGTGTGTGAATGTAATGCTATATTACTGTGCTGTAAGAAACTATGAAAATGACGGATGCAGAGGAATAAGGGAGGACGCTTATACTAATGCAAAGTGGGGTGCCAAGAACTAGGAAAGTAACATGCAGGACAACAAGAATGCAAACAGAAAGAACAAGGACAAAACTGAATACTGTGGAATCCTAATGACTAACCTTGGCTGCAAGGAAGAGATAGGAGAAGGAATCTCTGCTCACTCCTTACAGGGGTGGGGGACTATGGGTGTGCAATGCTGCATACAATGTTAAACTCTTTTGGTAAGATTGTTAGGTTTTGCTCAACTGTTTTTCCACCTTCTTTTTTATTCTTTGTTATAAGGGATTGATGTCTGGGAGGAGTAAAAAGGTGGGCTTACATATGGAAATGTAGGTGATTTAAAATAAAATATTTCAATGAAAATTTATTTCTTAAAAAAAAAAGAAAAAATAGAGGTTAGTGTGGCATAATGGAAAGTGCCCTGGACTTGGAATCCAAAGCCTTGAGCTCAAGTTTTGGTTCTAACCCTTACCAGTTGAGTGACCTGGGGCAAATCACTTCTGCTTTCTGAGACTCAGTTTCCTTATCTTTAAAATGGGGATTATTTGGATAGAGGGCCAGGCCTGGAGTTGGGAAGACATGAGTTCAAATCTGGCCTTAGACATTTACAAGCTGTGTGACCCTGGGCAAGTCACTTAACCCTGTTTGCCTCACTATCCTCATCTGTAAAATGCTCTGGAAAAAGAAATGGCAAACCAATCCCGTATCTTTGCCAAGAAAACCCCAAATAGAGTGACTTGCTTGAGCTCTCCCCCAAATCCCTCCAAATACCTGTAAAAAATGCCTCTAAACAAATTCTAGAGCAGCAAGAAAAACCCAAATAGAGCCACGGAAAGTCACACACGACTGAACAAAAACAACAGCAACAACAATCCACCCTTCTCCCCAGTCCCCTGGGAGCAACGTGAGTTGGCAAATTTCTGTCTTAGTTTAGGGTGAACTCCTGAAAAAAGGTTAATTGTTTCAAGGAAAGTGCTTTGTGAATGTTTAAGTGCTCTGTAAATGTGAATTGTTACTCTTATTATAGGATCATCAGTGTAGAGCAGGAAGACAACCTCAGAAGCCATTACGTCCAATCGCCTCGTTTTACAGATTAGGAAATGGAGGCAGAGCGGGGTTAATGACAGGCCAAGGCTGATAGGTAACTGAAGGAACTCGAAACCAGGTCTTCCTAACTTCAGGTCCACCGCCCTCTCCACTAAGCCAAGCTGCCTTCTACAGAGGGGAGGACCAGAAGAGGGGCGTTTAGAGGACAGGGAAAGGAAGAGCGAAGAAGCACCCGGAGTGGAAAATGGCGGAGTGTCGTCAGTGATTGCCTTGGAGACCTCTCAGCATCACCAGAGCACCAAAGAATTCCCTTGGAGCTCTGCTCTCCTGCTGACATCTAGTGGCCAACTAGAGAAACAGCAACCGGAGAACACAGCCCATAAGCCATCAGGGAAGCAGGCCCTACCTATCTTCATAGAGGCCTAGAATGCTTGAACAGTAAAGGACCTAACATCTCCACAAGCGAGGTGCCATTTCCAGGATTGACAAAAGAGATTCTAGTTGTTTCAGCGGTGTCCAATTCTTTGTGACCCCATTTGGGGTTTTCTTGGAAAAGATACTGAAGTGGTTTGCCATTTCCTTCCCCAGCTCATTTTACAGATGAGGAAAACTGAGACAAACAGAGTTAAGTGACTTGCCCAGGGTCACACAGTCAGTAAGTGTGTAAGGCCAAATTTGAACTCAGGTCCTCCTGACTCCAGGGTCAGTGCTCTATCTACTGCACCATCTAGTTGCCCATTAGCTCCCCGTTCCCTCATCTAAAACCTGGAAGTCTTTTGAGGGGACAAAGTCCATTGGACTGAAAATGCAAACACCTTTGGGGTAGTAGGGAAGAGGAAGGAATACGGGGACCCAAATTCCCACCAAGGTGTCAATCACCTAGACATCAAATTGTTCTAAGAAAATTTTCCATGGGGAAAATACGTACAGTGAATTTAGAGGCAGTACTACCAGAATGGATTAAGTGGCTGATAAAGGCAAGGCATGGGTGCTAGAGACAAACTACCCCCACCATCATTTGGCCCTGATGCAGCCCTTAATTCTTCTTACCAAAGCAGAGACAAACCGGCCCACTCGGCTACAATGACATGAAACTGCTAGAATAGAATCCACTCTTAATGCTAGTTGCCTTGCCTCTGAGATTACTTCCAATTTATCCTGTCTATATCTTGTCTGTACATAGTTGTTTGCTTATTATCTCTCCTGCGAGCTCAGTGAGAGCAGAGGTCATCTTTTGTCTTTCTTTATATCCCTAGTGCTTAACACAGTAACTGGCACACAGTAGGTGCTTAATAAATGCTTGTTAACTTGAAGACACAGATGCTTTGGTTTAAGTTGCATATCCCCAAAATATGTATAGGACAGTGTCTGACACAGAGGAGGTGCTTAATAAATTTTATTGACTTGAAGGCAGGGATGATTTCGGTTTTGGTTTTATTTCCCCAAAATAGGCATAGTACAGTGCCTGGCACACAGTAGGTGCTTCATAAATGCTTGTTAACTTGAAGACACAAATGCTTTAGTTTAGGTTGTATATCCAAAATATTTATAGCACAATGCTTGGAACATAGTAGGTATTTAATAAGTGCTTGTTCACTTATATGCATTATTACTATTGCAGAGTCAGAAGGTCTCAGCTCTCTTAAAGGTCATTAGTCCAATGGGAATGCCCTTCTACAAAAATCCAGCTTCCATTTGGAAACCTCCAATGACTGGAATTCATTACATCCCAAGGCAATTCATCAGCCTTTTTCCACAGCTCTCTTTGTTAGTATGTTTCTCCTTATAATGAACCAAAACCAGGTAGTGAGTGCCCTGTATAATAAAAGCAATAGATAATCAAAAGGTGCTTCTTTTTAGCTTTGAAATAGTTTATATTTTCTTCCCACAAATTCACCTCCTTACAGAAGCAATGTGGGACAATGGAAAAAACATTGAATGGAAAACCAAGAGACCTGGGTTATAGGCTCAGTTCTGCCACTAACTTGGTCTATGACATCAGGAAGCACATCTCTGCCCTGAACCTCAGTTTCCTCTTCCGTAAAATGATAAATTGCACCAAACACACCCTAAAGTCCCAGTTTTGCCTTTCTGTGGTAGTTTCCAATCCTTGAGAACATATTGGCTGAAAGATAAGGAAGTAACCCAAGGACCTTGCTAGGCACTATCAAGGACAGGAACCAAATCTTTTATTTCATTGATATAAGGAATACTTAGATGAGAAAACTGAATTTATCAAAGCAAATCAGTACCATCTCTGCAACTACAAGTCTTAGAGAGTAGCATAGAGCGCTTAGAGGGTAAGTGACTTGCCCAGGGTCACACAGGCAGTATGTGTCAAAGATGAGACTTGAACCCAGGTCCTGAGTCCCACTATGTCAAACTGCCTCATATTCAAGGCAGTAATGGTTAGGAATTCAAAAGGCACTTCAATCCTACTACAGATAAAGAAGAGTTGATTGACTGTCGCTGTGTGTCTCTTGTCTCTCAGGACTCAGAGAGCCAGGAAACCAAGACCCATGGCCCAGAAGCAGCTGGCTTTCTGAGCTCTCCTGATTTCAGTTTGCTCAGAATGTTTTCAGTCAGAAATATTCACTCATTATTAGAAGAACAAATGTCATCTTCACTCATCCTAGCATACAGAGGAAAAAGCCTTATCCTTTTCCAGACTCATCCAGTAGGGACATCCATGCAGCAGCCTTTCTGCCACATCTTCTATAGGCCACCAAGGTAACTTCCTGGGACAAGTGAAGGCTCTTTCTTTGTGGTTTGTTTCCCAAGAGGTCCTTACTCTCACAGGGAGTATTTTTGCTTCCAAGTCCTCTAATAGGAATGAGAGGCAATTGTGCCTGCATCACATCCCAGGTCCTCACAGAAGACAGCCTGTGCCCTAAATAGGCACCGTCCGCCCTCTCCAACATCACGCATTTGAGTTGGGCTCTTTCGTCAACTTCAACTTGGCACACTCTTTGAGCTCCTCCTCCAGGACCTTGTTCCTCTTCTCCATGTCCTGCCGTGAGCGCTCCATGTTTTGAAAGCTGATTTCCAGCTCAGCTAACTTCTTCTTCTCTTGCTCCAATTCTTCATTCAGTCTCACGACTTTGGCCCAAACGTCATAGTTCTCCTTCTCCAGGCTGCAGAGGTGGAAAGAAGGAAAATGGTGAGAGATCTGAGGCACTGTCTCTGGACTCTCCCTGAGCTTTTTCCCAAGAGACCCTCTCCTATGCCTTTGTTAGACCAGCGACCTCCCCGTCCCTCAACAACAGTACCACTGCCATCTTGTTAGTGTTGACTCTATCCTGCCCCTGCCCATACAGCCAAAGCCTACCCATACTTTGGTGATTAGCAAAATTCCCACTTCCTCTATGACCAGTATAGTAGGAAGATATAAGGTCAAATCCAGACTCTGCCACCTCTTGATCAAAAATATCTTCTTTGAGGCTCAGTTTCTTCATTTGTAAGAAGAGGGGGATGATTATTAATGCCTATTTCCACTCTAACAGTTCATGCTTAATGTTCTAAAATCCCTTTGGGGTCCGATGTTCGATGCTCTAAGTAAAGTACACTTTAGCTTGGCCTGATTCCTTCAATTTTAACTCTCCATCCCTCCCTATTACTTTGTATCTATTTTGAATTTAATTACATTTATATGTATGTAAATATGTATGTAAAGAGCATATGTAAATGCTTTCCCAACCTCTCTAGCAAATTGCCCTTATGGTTATCCCCACCTTCTTTTTTATATTCAGTCCCCTACCTATCAATTAGTTCTTTCCCTAATGCCTACAAAAATTCTCCTGTCACCTCTAAAAAAATCTCACTTCAAAAAAATAAAAATAAAAATGCTTCCCAACCGACTGGAAGGATAGGGAGAAAAGGTAGTGTTTAAAAAAAAAAAAAAGAGTCCATGTTAGTGCTGAGTTGCTCCAAAGGAAACAAAATTGACTAAGTTGCCTACAGAAAAAAAAAATCTCACTTCATCCTACCACCCTTGCTAGCTACTTCCCTATACTCTCCTCCCTTTACTGACCAAGTTTCTTGAGAAACCCATCAACACTCAGTGCCTCCTCCTCTGTCAGACCCTCAACAAGGATTTATTATGTGTGCCTGTTATGTGCCAGGCACTCTGCTAAGGGCTAGGGATAAAAAGTAAGCCAAAAGACAGTCCCTCTTTTCAAGGAAATCAGAGTCTCACTGTCTTTTTTTTAATCCTCTGGCTTAATATTAGAAGGGAAACGGGTAACTGGAAAAAAAAAATCTTGGCTGCAAGTTTCTCTGATAAAGGTTTCATATCTAAGATGGGTAAGGAACTGATTCAAATTTAGAAGAACAAAAGCCATTCCCCCAATGTTCAAAAGGTATGAACAGGCGGTTTTCAAAGGAAGAAATCAAAGTTATTGACAACAAAATCTGAAAAAAAATATGTTCCAAATATTTAATAATTAGAAAATGCAAATTAAAGATAATATAAGATTTTGGCACACCTATTTGATTGGCAAAGATGACAGATATTGGAGGGACTGCAGGAAAATGGACTATTAATACACTGCTGGTGGAGTTGTGAATTGGTCCAGTCATTCTGGAAAGCAATTTGGAACTTGTTACTAAACTGTGCTTACCCTCTGACCCAGCTATGCCACTAGTTGGCCTATACTCCAAAGATCAAAGAAAAGGAAAAGGACATTCATTCATTCATTCATTCATTCATTCATAAATTCATTCATTCATTTATGAAAGATCTTTTTATAGTAGCAAAAACTGGAACTTAAAAGAGTGCCCATCTATTTGGGAATGGCTCAACAAATTATGAAATATGATTGCACTGAATGTTACTATGCCATAAGAAATGATGCAATGAAGAGTTTCAGAGGAAATTGTTAAGATTTCTGTGAATTGATATAGAAAGAAGTAAGCAGAACCAGGAGAACAATTCATACAATGATAGCATTATAAAGAAAAACAACTTTGAAAAACCTAAGAACACTGATCAATGTAACATACCATGAGTCCCAAGGACCAAAGATGAAACATGCCACCCGTCTCCTGCCAAATAGGTGATGAACTTAAAATAAAGAATGAGATAGACAAGTTTGAAATTGGCCAATGCAGAAAGCTGCTTTTCTGGGCTATGCATATATGTTACAAAGATCTTGTTTTTCTCTTTTTTAAATTGCTCAATGGTGGGAGGCACCGGGGAAGAGACAATAAATGCTTGCAAAAACAAATAAATTATAAAACAACAATAGCTAACCCTCTGCAAACTGGCTTCTGGATTAATAATTTGACAGAAATTGTCCTCTGCAAAATTAAGAAGGATCTCTTAATTGCCCAATTCTAATGACCTTTTCTTAATCCTAACACTTCTTGACCTCTCTCTGGCATTTAAAACTATTAATCACCTTTTCCTCCTAGATCAGGGGTGGGAAACCTGCAGCATCAAGGCCACGTGTGGCCCTCTAGGTCCTCAAGTGCAGCTCTTTGTTCTGTGAAGTTTGGATTCAGTCAAAGGGCCGCACTTGAGGACCTAGAGAGCCACATGTGGCCTCGAGGCCACAGGTTCCCCACCCCTGTCCTAGACACTCTCTCTTCACTAGGTTTTCATGACTTTTCTCTCTCTTGATTCTCCTTCCATCTATCCAACCACTCCTCATTTTTGTTGCTGTTTCTTCATCCATGTCATACCTAAATGTGCGTGTTCCCCAAAAGTGCCCTGGACCCTCTTTTTACTCTATACTATTTTACTTAATGCTGTCATCAGCTCCTAGGAGTTCCATTATCTCTATGCAAATAATTCACAGATTTACATGTCCAGCCTTAGCCTCTCTCCTGAGTTATAATCACACATTGAACTGGATGTACCATAGGCATCTCAAACTCAACATCTCCAAACAGAAATTATTTTCTTTCCTGCAAAACCTCCTGAATTCTCAATTTTCCTATTAATATCAAGAGTACCACTATCTTCACAGTCACCTAAGCTTACAACTTCCATATTATCCTTGATTTCACACCCTCACTCATTCTACATATCCAAGTCTTCTCATTTCTACTGTCAGAAAATGTCTTGTGTACACACACACACACACAAACACACACACATATATATGTATATATCCCTTTCTCTTCACTCACACAGCCACAACCCTAGTTCAGACCTTCACCTTTTGCCTAAACTATTACAAAAACATTTTCTAACTGGGTCTTCCTACCTCAAGTCTCTCTCTACTCCAATCCACCCTCAATTCAGTTGCCAAGGTGATTTCTTCCCCTAATTTCTTCCAGGATAAAATTTAAATTCTTCTTTTTGTCATTCAAAGCTTAATAACCTGGCCCCTGCCTGCTTTTTCAATCGCCTTATACCTTATTCCTTTTCATGAACTGTAGAATCAAGGGCCATAGGTTCCCAAAGTAGGCAATACCACCCTCTGGAGGGTGCTGGAACAATCCAGGTGGGCGGCAGTAGCCTCAGGTGATGCGAATTTCTTTTTTTTTAATATTTTATTAATTTCTTTTGATTTATCAACAATCACTTCCACAAGCTTTTGAGTTTAAAATTTTTCTCCCCCTCCCTCCCTAAGACAGTGCACAATCTGATATAGGTGATACATATACATTCCTATTAAACATATTTTCACATTAGCCATGTTGTAAGGAAAAATTAGAACCAATAGGAAGAACTACAAGAAAAAAGAAACAAAACAAAACAGAAGAAAAAAATAACAAATAGTATGCTTCAATCTGCATTCAAACTCCATAGTTCTTTCTTTGGATGTGGATAGCATTTTCCATCATGAGACTTTTGAAGATGTCTTAGATCCTTGCATTGCTAAGAAGGGCTAAGTCTATCAAAGTTAGTCATCGCACAACGTGGCTGTTACTGTGCACAATGTTCTCCTGCTTCTACTCACTTCACTCAGCATCAGACCAAACAAGTCTTTCCAGCTTTTTCTGAAGTCAGCCTGTTCATCATTTCTTATAACACAATAGTATTCCATTACATTCATATACCACAACTTATTCAGCCATTCCCGAATTCATGGGCAGGGTGATGCAAATTTCAAAAAATCATTAAAGGGTTAAAGAAAGTAGATTTCCAGGGTGGTGCTGAGTAATAATTTTTAAAGGGGGTGGTAGGTCAAATAAGTGCAGGAACCTCTGACTCAAACCATGTTAACCTACTTAGATATCCTTGAGTTTGATGCTTCTCCTGTCTCCTCATCTTTGCAAATGGTGCCTCCATACCTGGAATACTGTTTCTTCACCTTTATTTTGTTTCCCTAACTTTCTTCAGCTCGAATTCTACCTTCTGCATTAAGTTGCTAATTCCTCTCCCTCTAAGATTGTTTCTGACCTACTCTTTACATGTTGTATTACCTATTTATTTACATGCTGTCTTTATCCATTAGACTATGAGCTCCTTGAGGACAGGGACTGCTTTTGCCTTTTCTTGTATCCTCAGTACTTACCGAGGCCAGTGTCTGGCACATAGTGGGTACTCAAAGCTCTCATTGAATTCTATGTTCTATGTCCTAAGGTCTCTTCTAGGTCTGATGTTTTATGATTCCAGACCCTTCCAGAGTCACCCAGCTTAAGGTACTCTCTCCCTCCTGTGAATTCACAAGCCTATTAGTTGTCTATGACACATTTGCCATGTTTATGCTATTTTGACAGGTATTGTATTCTTCTGTCCCTTTTCACATGTTCGTGCTTGGTCTCCCCAACTACAACATAAACTTCTAGTGAACAGATATCTGCCAGGTCCTATATATTTTTGGAACCCCAAGAACACTAAATATAGTACCTTGTACATAGTAAATTCTCAAGGAATAATCATTTCGATGGATTGGTTAAGGCAACATCAATGTGTTGGGGTTCTCAAGGCCTCTATATTTCTAGATATTCCCACCATCTCAGCTGAGTTTTTCTACTGTACTTGAGATCTCCCATTCAAAGACTTCTGAATAGAATACTTTTCATAGCACTTTGCCTGGACTTCTCCTTCATACTCACCTCATTCTCCTTCATTTCACAGTTATTTCTTTCCATGTATTTCCTTCTACTAGATTCTAAGGTCCTTGAGAAAAAGGTCATCACATTAATCTTTCTATCTCCCTATCTCCTGGTTCTTTCTCTCAAACATGTCCAAGTCTACCCCATCCTTAAAAAAATGCTATCTCCATCATCTATGGTCCTACAAGATAGCAAGAGGGACAGAGGATGGAGGCTGGGGGAGATGAGGAGAGGCATAATAAGCTTTGTTTTGGTCATGTTGATTTCAAGATGCATATAGGACTTCCATTTAGAGACATCACTGTCCAATGGGCAGGTGCTAATACAAGCATAAAGTGCTCCTTCCCTATACAACATAGATCATTTTCATGCATAATTCTATATTCATGCATAATTGCTATATCAATTACTAGTGATTCTTCTGAAAACACTAACAGAGATGCCTGGAGGATCCAAACTTTGTAACTCTCATTAAGAACTTCACAAGACTTCATTAACTTCCTATATATATTTAGGAATATTAACACTTTACTTCCTTAAGCATAGTCTTCAGCTCAGAAGTCCTACTCTGATGTCTCATCAAGGTGTATTGGTGATCATGTGTTCTGGAAGGTTATATCAACAGTGCTCAGGCTCTGACAAGACCTATCAAGCTGGAGAGGTTCTGAGTAAGGGCCTGGGGATAGATTCTGTATTTGTCATCTCAGAGACTGCCTCTCTAAAGTCAGAGAGGTCCAACACCAGCAGTTTGGCCACAAGCTGATGATTTTTTTTCTGTTATAAAGCCATCTACTAAGGTTGTAAAGGAGGGGTTGCAATCGCTATGGGTGAAAGGAATACCTGAACTTCTGAAATCAAATAATAGCCATAACCAAGATGGGACAACTAAGGCTTTGTCCCCAGGTCACTGAAATTTAAAGGGTTCACTTACACTCTTTCAGCAGAATCAGAACTATTTGGTTTAGAATCTAGTTGACAAGAATAATTGGCTAAAATAGGAAGCTACCAGATGACATGCTTCCTTCCCTCTGGCAGGGTCCTATCTTAATCTCACACCTACTTCCAAATACAGACTCTTCCAGAAGTGGTATCAAAGCCTTCTGGAGTTTCTCTTCCTTCATCTCAGGACCTTGTGTCAGTCAATAGGCATTTATTCAATCTTTATTGTGTGCCAGGAACTGTTTTAAATTCTTAGCACACAAACAAAGGCAAAAAATATCATCCCTGATCCTAAGGAGCTCACACTCAATTGGAGAAGACAATATGCAAAAAAAGTTATAAATACTAGATAGATAGATAGATAGATAGATAAACAATGTAAAAGAAAAGTAGTCTTAGAAGGTATTGGAGGGTGAGAGAAAGGCAAATGGACTGGGAAAGACCTCTTAAAGAAGGCAGAATCTGGGCAGAGTTTTGAAAAAAACCAAGAGGTGGGGGGGAAGAGGGAGAGTATTCTAGGCATGGGGGACGGCCAGTGAAAAAGCCCATAATTAGTTGATGACATCTCCTGTGTGAAGCACAGCATGAAGCAGGTATTACTGGATCATAGAGTAGGTGCTGGGGAGTAAAGTATAGAAAGACTAGAAATGTAAAAGTGGGCCAGGTTATAAAGGGCTTTAAAAGACAAAGGATTTTATATTTGATCTGGGAGGGAATAAGGAAATGCTGGAGTTTATTGAGGTGTGGGGAAGGGGAACATGGCCAGATCTGAGCTTTAGAAAGATGGACTAGAGGGGGCAGCTAGGTGGCACAGTGGATAGAGCACCAGCCCTGAAGTCAGGAAGACCTGAGTTCAAATCCAACCTCAAACCAAACACTTGACACTTACTAGTTGTGTGACCCTGGGTAAGTCACTTAATCCCAATTGCCTTAAAAAAAAAAGAAAGAAAGAAAGATGGACTGGAGTAGGTGTGGACTATAGAGTATGAACTAGAGGAGGCAGAGACTTGTGGAGAGACCAGTTAGAAAAGATTACTACAATAGTCCCAGGACTGTATAACCCATTCCAAACTGCTTACTGTCTCAGGGAAGGGGGAGGGAAGAGAGGGACAGAGAGAGAATTTGGAACTCAAAATGTAAAAAAAAAAAAAAAGAATGCTGAAAACTGGTTTTACACGCAACTAAGAAAAAATAAAATAATAAATTTACCTTAAAAATAGTCTATGCGTGTAGCGATGAGGGCCTGAACAAGGGTTGTGACTGAGAGAAGAGGACATGTACTGGAGATGTTGCGAAGGTAAAAATGACTTGGCAACAGAATGGATATGTGAGGTGAGCTCCAAAGAGGAATCCAGCATGATTCTGAGGTTGTGAGCCTGGGTGACTGGGAGGATGGGAGGTTGAGGTTCCCTCAACAGTAATAGGAAAGTTGGGAAGAGAAGAGGGTTTTAGGGAAAAGAATATCTCAAGGTCCCTTCCTACCACCCAACATTATTAGTCTTTTAAAAAATGCATTTTAGGGTATTTTTGCAGGGCTTGCCACAGACACAAAATTTGCCGGTTAGGGCTGTCCCAGAATCTCGAAGTAAGCAAATACATTCTATAACACAGCGACCTTTTCCTGCAGTTAGCCCAGATGCTGTGGTTTTCGTGTGTGTCGTGCCCTGATAATGACGTCTGGACCCCCTTTGACAAATGGTAGTGCTCACATGCACAGCCAGCCCGGTGAACGCCACGAGCCACCTTCCCCAGGTCTTACCTTTTGATTCGTTCCTCATAGACCCGGCTCTGCTCTTCCATTTCCTTTTTCAGCTCTACAATCACCTTCTGCAGAGACTCCTGGTCTTCCTGAGCAGACCCTTTCTCCTCAGGGCTTATGCTGGTCGGGGCGTTGGAGGTGGAGGCTGGCTGGGAATCGGGCAGGCTGGTTTTGTCCCCAGTGGATGATAAACTGGGGAGGATGCTTTTGCACGTGGAAGTCTGCTCAGAGTCTGCCAAGCGATGCAGATCTTGAGACAGCGTTCTTTTGTGCCCGCTGGCTTTGCCTTCAGGGGAGGGGGACCAGAACTCTGTGTTGAAGATCTCCACTTTGCTGTTACTGTTGGTCAAGGCTGAAGTTAAGAAACACTTCCTGTTCGGAAGCGTTTGAGTCCTTTTTCGAGACTGCAGCTTCCACGATCCTGACGGTTCCTTAGTCTCTTTACAGGTCTCCAATTCCGGGGGTCCATCAGCTGCCTTTAGGCCGGTGGAGCTTTTATCGGCATCACTGGTCTGAAAAATAAAGCCTCCAATGTTAACTGGATTTTATCCAACTCTGCGGTGCAAAGATAAAAATCAGAAATTTGGAAATGAATGTCCCTTCCTGACTGCATTGTTTTCGGGTCTCCTAATAATAACTGCTTTTCTTCATTGAATCCTGACTCTGCCAGTTATGGTCCCTTAGCTTTGATAAGCCATTTAACTCTGGGCCTCAGTTTCTTCATTTTTAAAATCATGGGTTGGGACTAAATGATCTCAAGAAGGTCCCTCACAGCTCTAAATTCTGTGATTCTATAAATATCATACTTCTTTAGACCTCTTTGAGTGATAGTAGAGTTTTTTAGGGAATGTGTGTGTGCCTGTGTTTGTGTCCATGCCTCCTGGAAAGCTTAACTGTAAAGGGCAGTTGACTGGTGCAAGGGATAGAATGCCAGGCCTGGAGTCATGAAGACTCATCTTCCTGAATTCGAATCTGGCCTCAGACACTATTAGCTGTGTGACCCTGGGCAAATCACTTAACCCTATTTGCCTCAGTTTCCTCATCTGAAAAAATGAGTGGGAGAAGGAAATGGCAAACCAGTCCAGTATTTTTGCCAAGAAGACCCCAAATGTGGGCACTATGAGTTGAACACAACTGAAATGACTGAACAACAACAAAACACAGGCAGGGAAGAAAGCCGGTCCTAGACCATAAGCTCCAGGAAGACAGGGCTCAAGTTTTATCTAAATTTGGTATCTTCTCCCTACACCTAACCATCTACCACCTGCCCTACACACAGGTTAATCATCAGCATTTGCTGAATGAAGGAATAAAAAGAACACAAAGGGAAAAAAATAAATAAATTGGGAAAATAGACCACAAGGAAGGAAAGATCAGGAAAGGGAGCCTAAAAGAAGGATAGAAAGAGAAAAGGATCAAAGAAGGCTGTGGGGCATCAGTGTCTAGAGCTCCAGCCATTGTCTTAGGAGAAAGATCTTGTGGTAGAAAGAGTACCAGGTTTTGAGTCAAAGGACCTGGATCTGAATGTGATCACCACTGTCAATTCACTGGGTATGCCCTTGGGCAGGTCATCTGCCTTCTTTGAGCCTCTGTTTCCTCATCTGTTAAAATCTGTTGTACTGGAGATTGGGAGTATGGGATGTCACATATGTTGTCAGAGAAGACTGATGGGTTTGATTTGCTGAATTGCTTTTTTTCTCTTTTCTTTTAAAATCTTTGTTAAAAGGGAAGTCTAATTGGCAGAAGGAGAGGGAAGACATATTCAGAAATAAAAGTGATATAAAAACAAAGGCATTAGTCAAATATGAAAAAATTTTAAAAAAAAATAAAATGAGGGATTTGGATTAGATACTGTCTAAGATCCTTCCTGTCTAAATACTATGATCTAATAGAAGACTTTGGAAAGCCTTTACTTCTGCTCTACCAAGGACATAGAACACTTACTGGCAAGCTGGAGAAAGAGCAGCCAAAGAAATGGTCATGAAGAGCTGATCTGTCACAGGAAAAGTTCCATGAGTGGTGAAAAAATCTATGAAAAATCACCACCACCAACTGCCAATGAATTGTTTCTGCCTTTCTGAGTGGCAGCTTTCAGCTGGGGCACTGACATCAGAGTACGTTTGGTTTGGGGTTTTTGTGTTTTGTGTTTTTCCAAACCTTTGCAAACTAAGTTTCGAAGAATATCCTCTTAGGTTAAATTGGAAATAAGCACTTTCTATTACTCCAATGTTGGCTGACTGATCTTAGAGACATGAAAGCCCCCAGTAAAACATAAGGCAAACACAAGACAAGCAGGCTGCCTAGTTTTGTTCAAATGAATTTACGCCACAGGCGGCCCACAACATACCCTAATGCAACCTGAACAGTATTAAAATGTAATCAGGAAAATTTAACCAAAAATGACAAATACAATAAAACAAAAATTATATTAACATGTGGTTTCCTAATTCAGTATGCACCTGCAGGTCTCCTTATACACAGTTTAGTGGGCCCCAACTCTATCTGAGTTTGACTCCCCTGACTGCTTCTAAGAATTACATTTCTAAGTCTTTTTTTTTTTTACTTTTTAATTGGATGGAATTTACATTTATTAAATGCTACTGTTTCAAACTCTATACAAATATGAAAGGAAACCAATCAGTGCCAATAAAGGAACTTAAGGAAGAAACCAGAATCCAGCACGTTTGGGGAACTGGTGGCCGAGGAAATTTGTTTTGCCCTTGGGTACAGGGTACTGTGTTAGGTGCTGAGTATACAAAGAAAACAATCAAATGGCCCCTGCCCTCAAAGATCTCACCTTCCACTGGAGGCATATATTAGGTACAAAGATAAGCATAATACAAGGAAAATTAGGAATCCTTGTTTTCCTTCTAGGCCCGGTTAAGGAATCATCTCCTCTATGAAACCTTCCTGGATCTACCCAGGTGTTAGTATTTTTCCTGTTTCCTGTTTGTCCTATATACAGCTTGCTTTGCATGTCGTCTCCCCTATTAGACTGTAAGCTCCTTGAGGGCAGGGACTGACTGTCTTTTGCCCCCTTTTGTATCTTCAGCACTTAGCACAGTGCCTGGCACATAGAAGGTACTTAGTAAATGTTTATCAATTAGCCAATTGATTTCTCTTTTCTTAGTTTTCTTTGTATTATACTCATTTATGAACATGTCATGTATCTCCACCAATTGAATGTAAACTTGGGAACAGAGACTATCACACTTGAGACAGCACTAATTAATACCTGGGGAAGGAAGCACAAGGAAGGCTTCACAGAGAAGGTGTTCTATCCCATGTGCTAGCTAATTCCTGAGTGGAACTCATATTGAAGGAAGACAATGATTCTGAAATGCAGATTAAAAGGCGAGTGCATTGCAGAGATGGAGAATAGCTTGTGAGCATTCCCAAGAAATTGACTGAAGCATATTTCATTTTCACTTTTTTATTTTTCATGGGGTTTTTTTGCAACACGGCTAATGAGGAAATATGTTTTCCATGATTTCATATGTACACTGGGTATTGTATTTTCTGCCTTCCCAATGAGTGGGGAAAGGCTAGAAGGAGGAAGAGAGTTTGGAACTGAGAATAAAAAAACTTTTTAAGAAATTAATGAAGCTTTGCATTCATAGAATGCATAGAATGCATAAAATGACTAATAATCTAATTCAACTAGAATGTAAAGTTCCTAAAGGGTAGTAATAAGAAGTAAGCCTGGAAAAGTTGGTGGGAAGTCCAACTGTGCAGCAGCTTAAATGGTAGACCAAGGAGTTAGTATTTTTCCTATATGGAATAGGACTGAGCTCCTACAAGCACCCTGAGTTCCAATAGACAAGCTTTTTTTTTTTTTTTACTAGGCAATAGGGTTAAGTGACTTGCCCAGGGTCACACAGTTAGTGAGTGTTATGTGTCTGAGGCTGGATTTAAACTCAGGTCCTCCTGACTCCAGGGCTGGTGCTCTATCCACTGCGCCACCTAGCTGCCCCAATAGGTAAGCTTTTACCTTATCTTTCTTGAAACCAGATCTTCACATCACTTTCTGGCCACCATTTTGAATCCATTCTGGAGCACCTCCCCACTTTTCAGCTCCCCTTTATGTATTGTCTTCCCTTATTCTAAAGCGAAACACAACCCATTTACACACCTTGAGAGCAGGAACTGTATTCTTTACTTATATACATCATTTAGCACAATCCCTAACACATAATAAGCACCTAATAAATACTTTATCATCCATCCATCCATCCATCCCCATTTGTTCAATAAAGAGCCTTTGGAGGTTATTAAGGAAAGGAGGACATGGCCAGAGTTGTGCACTTGGAAGATGATTTTAACAATTATGTGAAAAGTAAATTAGAAAAGAGAGAGGCTAATAACAGGGAGACTACTTAGGAGATTATCTCTCATCCAGGCCAGAGGTGATGAGGTATGTGTTTCTTAAAATAGTGAGTTATAGGGAATCTTTATTTTGGACTATTTAGAATAAAGTATTGGATTGATCAAAGTAAAATAGATGAGAGCTTTTCTACTCTAGATTAAACTGTACCTTACCGTCTGATTAAAACTGTCTGCCCGAGGTATGGAGGAATCCTCAGCAGCATCCCAGCCAACTGAGCTCCGAGGGACTGGAGACTTCTTGGAGTCATGTTTCTGAGCAGGTGGAGATGGGGGGATGTCCTTGGATTTGGGGAAGAGCACTTCATGGTCCCGAATCATCATGGTCATCACTCTTTGGATCTGGAGAGTCCCTGAAGGAGAAGGGATGACAAAGTACTTCCAGGCATGCACATGCATACACACACACACACACACACACACACACACACACACACACACACACATTCACCAGTCCTGAATCCATAGAACTGGATTGAATCCTAGTAATGCCGCTAAGATGTTCTTCTGGTAGTCTTCCTGCAATCTAAAATTGTGATCTAGGTGTACATTTGCCCACCCACGTAGATACAGTTGGGCCCCATTTTAAGAAAACCCAATATTAGAAAATCCAAATTAAGGAAACCAATAAATTAGGGTCCAGGTTCCACATCACCAAAAGATTTACCAATTTCATATAAGATTAAACCATCTCTAAGACTAAGGGGATAATACGAGTCAAATAGAGGAAAACCCAGTAGCAGTCCTCCCCCAGGATGCTCTGACTCCTCATTGGCTCCTGGGCACCATTCCCCATTCATGCGGGATGTATGCTCCCTCAAGGAATGTGGAACCAGCCAAGCTCTTGCCTGATGGGTAAGAAGAGTCTAAAAGGGAGGTTTCCTTTTGTTTTCACTTTCATGACCAAAAGGTCATGTTCCTCTTAGCCATGGAAGGAAGCATGGTAGAGCAGAAAGTGTATATGTGTGTGTATCAAACAGATTATGGGGCTAGAGTTTGCAAAATAAATGTATACTAGAGATAAGTGACACTTTCATTATTTTAGCAGGGCATAAATGATTTTATCTTCATTGAATATGAGAAGCAAGTGGTAATGTGTAAATTATTTTATATCGCTTGTTTTTATAGATGTAACAGATATTGTTCATAGGTTTATGTATATATGGATTTTCTTCTGAGTTGCCCTCTAGCTCATGAACCAATTCCTACCTGTCATGATCACCGCAGGGTCTTCTATGTTGGGCCTGATGAGGTTCACACCAATCACAGTGGCCAGATTATCCACACACATCTTATTAATGGCACTGTTCAACTGGATTTCATGTAGGAACCTGACAAAAAATACGTTCCACAAGGGAAAACTGGAAGCTTGGTAAAAGAAAACCTTTATGGTGTCTACACATCCCAGGGAGTGATCCCCAACTTCCTCCGAGTCTCTGGAATATAGCCAGTCTTGCCTAGTTCTTTGTCAGGCAGTATCAGGATGGTATCAGGTCTGAGCTCACCACTGATGGCTTTAATTTCACTAATGAGAAGTACGAGAGACTCTAGTCCTAATTCGGAATCTTCTGGGAGTGCTGGTACCAGCATGGAATACCCAGAGATGGCATTCAGACACAGGGAAAAGGAAAGGGAAGAGTGGTCTCAACTGGCCTTTCATCTACTTTTATAATCTCCATCCCTCCCTCCATATCCCATCCTTTCCTTAGCAGCTCTCTCATTTTCAAACCCAGAAATGATAGTGAATGAAAGGGGTTTTTTTTTGTTTTGTTTTTTTTTTGTTTTGTTTTTAGGGCAGTTAGGTGGCAGAGTAGATAAAGCTCCGGCCTTGGAATCAGGAGGACCTGAGTTCAAATCTGGCCTCAGACACATGACACTTATTAGCTATGTGACCCTAGGCAAGTCACTTGACCCTGATCACCTCACCAAAAAGCAAAAAAAAAAGTTTGTTTGTTTTTCTTGGAGGAGATAGGAAGGGAAAATTAAGGAGTGATCACCGAGATTAGAGACCTCAATTTAAGAATACTTAGCCAATCTAGCCCAGATCTTCTGAAGCATCTGGTATATGAAACATTCAATAAGTATTTAATACCATATTTACTAAGTATCATAGATTAATAATTTAGTAATATCAATAACAATATATTATTAATGGCATCTAGGTGGTGCCATAGTGGATAGAGTGCTGGATCTGGAGTCAGGAAAACTCATCTTCCTGAGTTCAAATCTCACCTCAGACACTTACTAGCTCTGTGACCCTGGGCAAGTCACTTAATTCTGTTTGCTTCAGTTTTCTCATCTGTCAAATGAGCTAGAGAAGAAAATGGCAAACCCCTCCAGTATCTTTGCCAAGAAAACATGAATGGGATCACAAAAAGTCCAGCACAACTGAAAAATGACTAAACAACAATACATTATTAAGTATTATATTTTACATACTCCATGAACTCAAGACAAGGACTCTTGAGATTTACTATGAACATTGGAATGATTCCCCATGGGAGAAAGTGAAATAATCATTACTCCAGGAACTTTTAAAATAAGGTCACAACAATCAGTCAGAGTCATAGGATCACAGAGCTAGATTTGGAAGGACCTTAAAGGTCATCTACTCCAACTTCCTAATTTTACAAAACAGAAACATGAGGCTAGAGGGCAGAGTAACTAGCCCAATGTTAGACAAATAGTAAATGGCAAAGATGGGATTTGAACCCAGGACCTCTATTGTAAATCCTTTGCTATAGAGATGAAGTAGACCTTTCTGGTTTCTGAGATTTCTGAGTTTCTGACATTGCCTTTCAAACCCAGGACGTCAGTCTTTGGATCTCAGTCTCATAAGTAGCATTAGGGTAAGGTCTGCAGGGGAAGGAATAGACCCAACCAGGTAGCCAACCAAAACCACACAACATCTTAGAGTGGGAAGAGACCTTAGATATCATCTAGTCTAACCCCCATTTACATTCGGATCCTTCTCTATTACGATCTTGACACCTAGTCATCCAGCCTGTGCTAGAAGGCTACCATTGGTAGAGAGGCCATGAGAGATCATGGAGGTTCTATGGGGTCTATCACTGTGGGCCTCAAACACTTCAAACTGATGCTACCTAGCCCCTTTATTAACAAAAAAAAAATTTAGTTCCTGTTGGTCTCACTAAAAATGAGGAATGTTGTATCTTTGGGTGCTGATCTTCCCAGCCAAGCCAGTAAAATACATACCTACAGATGTAACTCAAAAGGTTGTAATTGTCTCTGGGAAGACTGGAAATCTGCTTCATCAGCTCCTGGTGAGCCTAGATAGAATTAAAATGAAAAATGCAAATAGACATACAAATATATGTGTGTATATGTGTATATATATATACATACATATACATACATATATATCTGTGTATATGTATATATATACATACATATAAATTACATACTCCATGGACTCATTTGGAATGATTCCTCAAGGGAAACAGTGAAATAATTATTACTCCAGGAACTTTTAAAATAAGGTCACAACAATCAGTCAGGGTTTTAGTATCTATTCTAGAAGGAAGGGTTAGAGGATCATTGAGCAGAATTGGAAGGACCTCAAAGGTTATCTAGTCCAACTTCCTAATTTTACAAAGGAGAAACCTGAATATAGATAGATAGATAGATGATAGATAGATAGATAGATATAGATATATATGTATATATACATATACACACACATATATATACATATACACATACACATGCACACACACATATATATACATATACACATACACACGCACACACACACATATATATACTATATATATATCCCAAGTCCTAAAGCTCATACTACAATAGCTCACATTTCCTTAGTGTTTTGAAGTTTCAGGAGAATGTCAGCTCCTTGAAGGCAGGAGCTGTTTGGTTTTTTACTTTGTATCCCCAGTGTCCAGAACATAATAGACACAATGAACACAGGTTCAATTGAATTCGTAGGCAGAGAGGTGTGGTAAACAGGAGGATTGGACCTGGGGTGGAATCTTGACACTGTTACTTAGTACCCAAGTCATTTAACTTCTCTGGGGCCTCAGTTTCTTTATCTGAAAAATAAGAAGGTTAGACTAGATGATCTCTAAGGCGTTTTCCAGCTTTCTACCTGCAGTCTTATGATCCTATGATCTCTGATTTGTTGATTAAATCGAATTGAATGAAAGTTTATGAAATACTTTACTCACAGCAGCCCAGTGAGGCAGAGAATATGGAAAGGGCATTTGCTATACACCAGGGCTAGAAATATAAATACAAGGAAGCAAAACAGTCCCTGTCCTCAAGAAAGGCATTATTCAAATTATTCTAAAATAATCATATTACAACTGTTCTAATAGTTATATTACATTCTAATGTAATTCTAATTCTAATATTACATTCTAATAATAGAATAGCATTCTATTATTCTATTATTTCTCTCTGTTCATTCTCATCTAATTTGATTCACCAAAATGTTCCATCCTGTCAATATCATTTTGGATCCTGATTCTTATCATCCAGTGTGTGAGGTAATCACATCCAATCCCACCCCTGCTTTTGCATCATCTGATCCAAGACATTGATAAAAAAGCATTCAACACCAAGCCAAAAACAGGTCCCTAGAATACTGAGCTGGAGTCTGAAGAAAGAAAGCCCTTTATAAACTTTATTGGGAGTAATCAACATCATATAATGGAGGGTCTGCTGGACCAAGTTTTGAATTCCTACTCTGAAGCTTACCAGTAAGATACCCTGTGACCCCAGGGTATCTTATGTGCCCTCTAAAGCAAAAAATATTTGCACTACCTACCTCACAGGTCTGCGAAGAAGGAAGTGTTTTGCAAACCTTCAAAGAGTGACCACAAAGAGTCACCACTTAGCTGTTCGGTCCCAGGCAAATCACTTACCCTTTGTAAGCTGTCCCTTTTCCTTGTCTTTCAAGGGGATGGTAATATCTGAATTGCCAGGGCTTTTTTGAATTGCAAATAAACTAATACATAGTAATGACCCCTAAAAGACAATTTGCTGGCCTCCAAACGCAAGTCATTTTACTTGCAAATTAAATAAATGCAAAATAGTTTTATTATTAGGTGGACTGGGAAGGTGAATGAAAGTTGTTTCTTCAAAATTTATTACACTTTGCTTCATGCAAGAAATAAAAACCAAACTAGTATGGTCCAGTGAATAAAAGGCACTTCCTGAAAATCTCTAATACCGCTGAAAAGCATTTTCCTCACAAGAGTCCTGTGAGGTAATTGGTAGAAATAAAAGACCACTAGATCTGATCAGATTTGGGGTTGAATTTCAACTCTGCTCCTTACTTCCTCAGTGATCCAAAGCAAGTGACCTCCCCCCGTCCCTAGGTTTCTTCCCCTATAAAATGGCGGGGTTGGAGATGAACTCCACAGCCCCTTCTAACTCTGAGTCTGTGGTTATTCATTGTGGCAGTAAAAAAAACAAAAACAAAAACAAAAAACAAACAAATCCAGCCATGAAAATTCTGTTACCTATTTAACCTAGCTAGCTCTAAAACTCTTCTTTGATGGTGAAGTAGAGGACTAGAATCCAGGCCCCAGGCTCTTCATACTTTACCTCGTAGTCACAAAGATCTTGTTATGGGGACCCAGTATCAAAATGGATCAACAACATGAAGGAAAAAAACAAAAACCCACTCTCCAAATCTGCCAATGTCATGAGAAGGAGAGAATTTGCTCTTTCTTCCTTTGGGCAAACTTAGTCTTTTTTAAAGGGGGGGAGGGAAGGGGAGGGGTCTGTGGTTAATTTGCTGACCTGTCTACAATGAGGTTATTGTTGCTCATGAGTAGATGAGCTAAAAGAATTTATCAAGGATCAAAAAAAAAAAAACCCAGCTCTTTGCTTGTGAAAAACCACAGTTTGCTCTCTCTCACCTCCAGCTGTTCCTTTCACTTCTCAAAGAGCTATAATTTTAGAGTTATCACACCATAGGATCTAGGATGATAATGGGCTGATCAGATAGAGAGCTTAAAGATTATCTAATCCAGGAAAGGGGAACCTGCAGCCTCGAGGCCACATGTGGCCTTCTAGGTCTTTGGGTGCTGCCATTTGACTGAGTCCAAGTTTTACAAAAAAATCCTTTTATTAAGGGGATTTGCTCTGTGACGTTTGGATTCAGTCAAAGGGCCACACTTGAGGACCTAGAGGATCACATGTGTCCCTGAGGCCGCAGGTTCCCCACCCCTGATCTAGTCCTATCCCCTCATTTTATAGTGAGGGAAACTGAGGACCAGAGAATTAAATCCAAGATCACTTAGTAAATGAGCAGCATAGCTGGTACTAGACCCCAGGACCCCCCACTCAATGCCACAAGTTCTTTTCATTGCAATTTACATATAGGGAGTTGCCTATTTAACACAAATCCCCCACTCTCCCTTTTTAATTTCATTAACTTCATTGCCAGTAAATAGCAAGAAACCAAAGTAATCATGGTTCCCTTGACTCTGCTAGAGGCTGTGAGTGCTCATACCCAGTTACAATGGTCATAACCACAATGAGAAATATTTTCATCTGAAACAGAACCAGTTGGTAGTGGGGGTGGGAGTGACGCGATGATGCAGAGGAGAGTGTGACTACCAGGGTCCCATAACGCTAGAAAAGAGTTCCTGAGCTTGTCCTTCGCTGAAGTTGGAGAAAGCAGGGAGGTGGGCTCTGTGACAGGTCTGGAGGAGGGAGGCGGCTGCACTTCTCGTTCAAGTGAGCTGGTGAGAAGGAGAGGAAGGTGAGGAAGCACCTGCCGTTGGGATGTCAGCAGGAAGAAGTCCAAGAGAGACTCGACAGATGTCTTCAAATGCTCAGAGGTCTCTCAGATGGTAAGAGGGGAGTCAGATTAGTTCAGCTGGACCCCAGAGAGCAAAACAAAGGATGGAAATTGAAGAGAAGCAGCTTTTGGCTCTGTATGAGGAAAGGCTGCTTAAAAAATCAGTCCCATTTTAATTACAGCTCAGATAAGTGACAAATTCACAGTGGATCATATGTAACCAAGAGAGAGTGAGGGACAAAAATTTGAAACTCAAAATTTTGTACAAATGAATATTAGAAATTGTCTTTACATATAATTGGGGGAAAATAAAATAACATTTTAAAAAATTCACAGTGGATAGGTGCTGGGCTTAAAGTCAAGAAGACCTGAGTTCAGATCCTCCTTCACACACTTACTAGTTGTGTGACCTTCAGAAAATCACTTAACCCCTCTAAGCCTTTTAATGTCCTCATCTGTAAAAATGAGAAGGTTGGACTCAGTGGCCTCTAAGGGCCTATGATTTTATAATCCCTTAGATTTAATGACCCCTGTAGAACTTTCTACTGCAGGGGGGGAATTCTCTTCCTTATAAAAGAAAGTCTGGGGTCATTTTTCAAAAAATTCTAATTCCTAGAATTCTATAGAAAAATTATATATTATATATGTATGTGTATATGTATATAGATAGGCATAGATGTAGATGTGTAAATAGGTGTAGACTTTCATACAACCACAGAATTTGGAGCCAGAAAGGCTTAGAGGTCGAGTTCAGTCCCTTTGCTTTATAAACTAAGAGAAGACATCCAAGGTCACATAAGTAATAAGTAGCTGCCATTTTGTGCTAAATGGAATTTTTAAAAATGGACCTGCTTTAGGACTAATTTGGGCAATATTTAACTCCTAGAATAATTCCCAGTAAAGAAATTACTTCCTTTATGAGCAAATTACTTTCCTTATGGCCCAGGGACCATACAATAATACCTTTGATTCAATAATACAATAATACCTTTGATTCATCTGCATTCATAAGTTTGCCACACAGCAGAAATCCCTCATATTGACTCCAGGGCACCACGGGGTCAGGGAGTTCTCGAAGGTAGAGCTTCAACAGGGAGGCCACAGTATGGACATCTGTATCTCTGTAAGATAACAGGTACCCTCGACTTAAAGGGAAACATTTAAATTCACTCTCAGAGTCATAGAATCCTAGAGATGGGAGGGACTTTAAACTATAGAATGTGGAATGTCATCCAGAGGAGCCCTTAGAACAAAGAATCTGGAACATTACAGCTAAAAGTAGCCTAGGAGACCATCTACTCTGACTCCCTTATTTTGATTTCTATTATAACAGCAAGAATGTTTTTTTTAAATCCATCTCACCCAGAGCAAGTCATTCCAATCAATGTATGATGGTCCCTACAGTGTCTTATAAAATATGGTAAAAGATTGATATGGTAACTACATGGGTCAGAAAACCATCTACGTGACAGAAGACTGCCAAGCATGAAATATATGGTTCTCCTTGGTTATCAACATCCATGAGTGAACTTGTATAGAGATATTGTTATTTGTGCAATGTGACAAAAAGATTATGAAGTCTAGGATGTAGTTCACACTTACTGGACCCTCACATTTGCAAAAGAAGGTGCCCCAACATTTTAGCATTAAACCTTTGAAGTCTGTGGTCTGGAAAGAGGATAAGACTGAGAGTTGGCAGGCCTGGGTCCTTGTCTTGGCTCTGCCATGAACTTCTGTGAAGCTTTGGATGATAATGTCTCATTTCTAGGGCACTTTAATGTTTATGAAACGTTTTCCTCCCAACAATCCAGTGAGTAGCTAGTGGAAATAACTTGTATCCTTATTTTACAGATGAAGAAACTGATGCTTAGCAAGGTGAAGTGTCTCGTCCATGGGTCATACAGCCAGTGTCAGAGCTAGGATTTATATGCAGGTCTTCTGGCTCCAAACCCAGTCTTCTTTCCACTGTACTTCCTGCTTCTCAGGTCACACACCTACTTCTCAAGGCCCCTCTAAGCCTTTGTCCTCATCTATAAAATGAGGGGCATAAATTAATGAATCTCCATGGTCTCATCTAGTTCTAACTCTCTGTGGTCCTGCAGACAGATAATCCTGTGGACAAAGAATGGGCCTCCTCATTCATTCTTATGCCCAGGAGCATTGTCCAATTAAGCAGGTGGCTAAAGTTTGGTAAGGATTTAAGAGATTATGAATTCCACATAAATTTTTAAGTTTACATCCGCCTGGAATGTCCTTCACCCATCCAAATCTTACTACCTGTACTCCAAGGCACAGCTCAAATCCCACTTCCTCCACATAACTAGATTTATAATCAGATGACTCAAGTTCAAATCCCAGTTCCTCCACATGCTATCGGTGTGACTTTGGGGAAATCATTTAACATCTCTGGTTCCTCATCTATAAAATGAGGACATCAGATGACCTCTAAGGTCCCTTCCAGATCTTCTGTGATCCTTTCCTGGCTACATGAGGCCACACTCATCTCTCCGTTCTCCAAATCCCAATGGTACCAAGCCAGAACCACTCAGTCTGGTGCCTCATTATTCTTTAATTCCGTCCTGAGTGTTAATCTCATCTCACCAGCTTTGAGTGCTTTTCCCCAAAGGGAGGAGATGGGGCACCATGCCAATGATTGGGGGCCAGTTAACAGGGCCCAGGAGAATAAACCCTCCTAAGGAAGGAAGATGTGGTCTCTGAATCATGATCTGAGAGAATAAACAAGAATTCATGCCAGGTCAGGCATAGAGAGGCAGGGCAACCAATTCCAAGGGCTAAGCAGGAGAAAGAGGCATCTGTAGCACTGATCCAAAACCAGGGAACAGAGTCTGGGAGGACTCACACAAAGGTGCCAGCTTATAACATAACTCACATTTATCGGTTTACAAAACACTTCCCTCACATTAGCCTGTGAGGCAGATGGTTCCATGAGGGTAAGTAGTCCTGTTCTATGTTCCCAGAGAGGGAAAGTGGACATACAGCTGGTCAGGGTCCAAGCTAGTATTTAAACACAGGTCTCCACCCTACCACACTGTCTGTCACTTTCTCATGCAACTTCTCTGCCAAGATAGTATCCTTTCATGGTGGTGGCATGCTAACTTATCACCTCTGTGTTCTGTGTTGGGAATCCCATGTGCCAGACACACCACTCAATTTTAAGTTGTTGTATGTCTTGATAAATATTTGGTTAATTGATTGATTGAAATGGACATAGGTCATCTAATTTATCTTCTTGACTATTTAGTGAGATGGTGATACAATTCTAGAGAGGCAGAAGATTATTCTCTAGAACTACATCCTGCTAAAGGCACCATAGACAATGAAGTAATATCATTACTAAATATATATGCACCAAGTGGTACGGCATCTAAATTCTTAGAGGAAAAATTCAGGGAGTTACAGGAAGAAATAGACACCAAAACGATATTAGTGCGGGACCTCAACCTCCACCTCTCAAAACTAGATAAATCTAAAAAATCTAAAAAGACAGTGAGACTATCTTGAATTGAAGAAAGAGCGCTGGGCTGGGAGTCAAGAGTCAAGCCCTGGTCTCTAGCTCTGGTTCTGATAGTAACATGCTGTTTGACTTTAGATAGCTTACTTCATAGACTTTCCATATATAGTCCAATTCCCTTGTTTTGCAGATAAGGAACCTGAGTTCAAAAGAAGTTAAATGACTTACCCAAGATCACCCAGCTCATAAATAAGATTTGAGCTAGTGTCCTCTGAATTCAACATCATAGATCTTTCCACTAAGAGCAATCACCACAAAGTCCTCGATCTATAGCACCAATCCTAGAATAAGAACACTGAGGTGGGGAGACAACTGATCTAACCATTTCCTATTTCAGTGGAAAGAGCAGTAGATTTATGTCAAAAGACCTATGGCTGGAATTCTAGTTCTGCTGTACAACAGTTGCATGATCTTAGGGAAATTTTTTTCTTTCTCTGCGCCCCCTGGGTTAAATGAGGGTGTCAAACTGTATCAGTCAATCAATTAAGTATTTATTAAGGGTCTGTTAAGTACCAAGCACTATGCTAAGCTCTGGGGATACAAAAAGAGGCAAAAGGCGGTCCCTGACCTCAAGGAGGTTTCAATCTAAAAGGAATTTACAATCTAATTCATTACTGATCTATATGATTTTTAAGGTTGCTTCCAGTTCTCAATTCTGTGAACTCAACCTAATGAGCTGAAGGATTTTTCCCTGTTCTCACACATAACTCCTGCCTCCAACACAAGGCTAGGTCTTCTACCAATACCTTTCAGTCAAAAGGATAAACCTCACATATTCTGTGGACATGGAGATGGACCCTGCCCAAGGGCACTGTTTGCTTCCCTAGGCAAACTGGTGACTTATTGCCTGGCACACCCAGCAAAGACAGAGAATTTAAACTGTCTGTTTCATAGAAATAAAAACATTTGAGAGGTCTAGAAAAGATCTTAACAACTGTCTAATCCTATACCCTCATTTTTCAGTTAGGGAAACTAATGGCCAGAGAGCTTGAGCACCTTGACCAAAGTCATCTAGTTAGTTAGTGGAACAGCCAGGACTAAAACTCAAGTGCCTGGTACTGAATCCAGTGGCCTAGAGCTTTGTTGCCAGAATATTTCTCATGCATAGATCTTTTCACGTCACTACTCTGTTCAAAAATATCCAGTGGCTCCCTATTACTTACCAAATCAAGTTCAAAGTCATTATCTCCAAGAAGAAAATAAATTCCTTGAGGGTAGAAACTACTTCATTTTTATCCCTGTGTTCCAATCACCTGGAACAGGGCCTAGCTCTTAACAGGCACTCCATAAATACTTCTTGATTGATTGATTGACTTGGCCTTCCAACATGTTCTCACATTACTATCTGCTATATACTCTGTAACTTAGTCAAGCTGGTCTATTCCTACCTGTTCACCACACCTATGTTTGACTATCTCCATTCTTTTGTTTTCCCTGTTCTGTCTACAGTGTCCTCTCTCTCCTTCATCACTTATTGAATTATTACCTGTCCTTTAAAGCCCAAGTGAAATACTACCTCCTCCAGGAGCCTTCCCTGGACCTACACCCTCTTCTGCAAGTCAGAAACAGTCTTCTTCCAATGGAATTCATGTAGGACTGTGCTTTGCATTTCTTTAATGTCTCAGTTTCCCAATTCATAAAATGAGGGTATTGGACTAAATGATCTTTATATTCCTGTCTAGCTTTAAATTCTACGGACTTATCATTTATTATGTCTTTTAGATAACTTTTTTTCTTCTTCCTGCTAGACTTTTAGTTCAGTAATGACCCCTAGATCTGCTCTGGCAAAAAGTAATGTCTCTTGGTCCTCTAAAGAGCCCACTGATCACCAGCAAAGTGGATGCCAAGCGCCACATTACAATTCACTGTTTTATCTAAACCTTAAATCCAGGAATGTGCCAGGTAAATGTCTAAAAAACAGCTCTTTGGGAGGAAAATGCATGAGTGATGTTCTTTTAAATTTAATCTGCATGATTGAAGCATACTATTTGCTCTTTTTTTTGTTTCTTCTTTCTTATTGTTCCTCCCATTGGTTCTAATTCTTCTTTACAACATGACTAATATGAAAACATATTTAATATGAATGTATATGTAGAACCTATATCAGATTACACACCTTGGGAAGGGAAGCGGGGAGGGAGTGGGAGAAAATTTAGAACTCCAAATCTTACGGAAGTAAATGTTTAAAACCAGAAATTAATTAATTAAAATAATTTAAAAGGAAAAAAATAAATTTAATCTGCATTATTAACACTTTCTCCATCCCTTCCTTAAGTCTAAAGACAATCAACAAAACAATAACCAAATCCTAATTTGTTTCCACTTCCAAAGTATAAGTAGTCATACTGAAAATTTAACAATCAGCTCTCCTGAACCAGTCTGAGTTGATTCTAGCACACCCCTGTTCATCTCTCCCCTAGTAACTAGTACAGTGTTTTGTACCCAGTATGCACTTAAAAAATGTTTGAGGAAGGGAGAAATAAGGAAAGGAAAGGAATAAGCGAGGGAGAGACAATCCTAGCTTGTTCCAATAGGGTTCATTTGGGGAGCACACATCTGAAGTGTGCCTTATGGCTGACTAAGGAAGGCTTAAACTCTTTAACCTGGCACTCAGGGTCCTTCAAGGTCTGGTATCACTCTGTAGTTCCACTCTTTTCTCATCTTACTCAGTACAAATGGTACACAACAGCTCTGTCTCCTAATCCAAGTGCAGATGAGCATTCAGGAAAGGTTGGACTTACCGTTCAAAAGAGGGTCGCTCCCCAGCATCAAAGGCATCCCTCAGTTTCTTCACCAAGTTGTCCTGACCAGGCAGTCGGAAGATACCTTCCTCATTCAAGCCATGTTCTCTGATGAACTCCATACACTTCTCTACCAGGATGGGCACTGAGTAATGCCCAAATTTTTGTTCATATGCCACAGTCTCATCCAGTCGCTGACCAAATACCACTGATGAGAGAAAAAGCAAAAATGGGGTGTGCCCACCAACTCCAAAATCTCCTAGTCCTGGTCTCCTCTCAATGAATTGGTCAACTTGCTTTGTCAATTTCACCTACCCCTTCCCAAATGCCAACATAGTCTGTTGAACTCAAGGGATCCTTAGAAATGATCTAATTCAGTACCTCTATTTTATAGAAGAGAAAACTGGCACCCGAAGAGGGGAGGAAACTTACTGAAGATCACAAAGGTCAATCAATAAAATCAACAAACTTTATTAAGTACCAACCATGTGCCAGGCAATGTGCAAATCTTGGTATCCACACAGGTAGCAAGCTGTAGAGTTGGTACTCAAACCCAGGTCCCTTGGCTCCAATTCCAATGCTCCTTCCTTTGCTCTATACCACGTCTCATGGTTATAATTTCTTGACTTTTTTAATACCATGAATATCTTTAGCAGGCTGGGGAAGCCTGTGGACCCTCATCTCAGAATGATGTTTTAAATGCATAAAATAAAATACATATAATTGCAAAGGAAACAAATCATATTGAAACAATTACCAAAAAAAATTTTAAGACAAGTTCATGGGCCCAGGTAATTGCACTGAATTGACAATCAGAGGGCCTGGTTTTGAGTTCTGTAACACTCACTAGCTCCATGGCCTTGGGCAAGTAACTGAGCTTCAGTTTCCACCTTTGTAAAGTAAGGATAGTAATCTCAGGGGGTTACTGTGTACAGAAAGTCCTTTGTAAGCCATAAAATACTATGGAAATAGTTATATGGAAATAATTATCATCCCCAGATTCTACCTTAATGACTACACAACATAGTTTGTTCCTAAGGAGCATCTGTTAATGATCCATTTATTTATTCAGTCATTCAACCATTATTTACTAATATTATATATGCTAAGAATTGGGGATGCAAAGACAAAAGTGAAAACAGTCCCTACCTAGAAGGGACCTTAAGAATCCATTCCAACTTTTGATTTTATACCAAGGAGCTTCAACATACCCCTTGACTATCTCCCAAATACCCTAACCTCCTACTCCACCATTTTCAATTCTTGTGACTTTCTATTCCGCCACTCCAACTCTGCCATACTTGAAAATGATCAGATGTACTTACTCTTGTCATCATTCACAAGGATTCGTATTCCAAGATCAAAAGCTCTAGAATTCCTTTATCTGATAATAGCCTCCTATCATTACATCTCTCCCTCCTCAATCTGCTCTTCATCTTCATCAAGACCTTCACTGCGCCCTTCAGTATTTTCTCGGGCCATCACCTTGACTCCGACTTCACTTTCCTCCCTTCCCAGTCTTGACCCTTTAGTTCACCAATTCAACTCTCTCTACACCATGTCTTATTCTTAAAACCCTTGCTCCACTCATGCCTTGCCAAATCCCATCCATCCTTGGCTTTTTCCAATCATCCATCTCCTCCACTTTTCATTGTTGTTGAGTTGTTTCAGTCATGTCCAACTTTCAGTGACCCCATTTTGGGGTTTTCTTGACAAAGATACTGATTTTATATTTTACAGATGAGAAACAGAGACAAACAGGGTTCGATGACTTGCCCAGGGTCACACAGCTGGTAAGTGTCTGAGGCTGGATTTGAATTTGGGTCTTCCTGACTCCAGGTCCAGTACTCTAACCACTGCACTACCTTGCTGCCTTAGCTGCACACAGTAAGCAGTTAATAAATGCTTGTTGATTGACCAACTAACTGACTGAACTGTTTTATGATAACCAAGCTAAAAGAGGCCAAGACAAGGATCCACTTCAAGGCATCATGGCTGGTTCCCTGGGGCAGTATCCCCATCAGCCAGTCTGTATGCTATACATGTCTTTGGTTTCCGTAAATCATTTTCACTCTCTTGAAAATGTGCAATTGCAGCAAGAACTTTTGGAGGGGAACTCCTTTTTGCACATCCTCTGAGGCCCAGAAGGCATAGTTATTTTCCTTTCTGAGGTACTTCCTAGGCAACAAGGTAGGGCAGTGGAGTCAGGGCTGAGCCTGGAGTCAGGAAGACCTAAATTAAAATCTGGCTTCAGATACTTATTACCTGTGTGACCCTGGGCAGGTCACTTGGCCCCTGTTTGTCCAGCTTCCCCATCTGTAAAATAGGGATAGTAATACCACCACAAGAGCTCACAAAACATTGACAGGATAAAAAATGCTGCACTGGAGACAGAAAGAGCTGTGATTAAATCCTGCCCATCCTGTGTTGTTGTGAAGTAACTATGGCTAAATCTCTGAGCCTCAGGCAAAGTTCTAGATAGGCTGGGATTTCTAGTTAGTAAACTTTACAAAGCATTTTCCCCACAGCATCCTGTGAGATTGAATTGATAATTAATTTATGAAATTATGGGGGCAGCTAGGTGGTGAAGTGGATAGAGCACCGGCCCTGAGGTCAGGAGGACCTGAGTTCTAATCTGGCCTCAGATCAAACACTTGACACTTACTAGCTATGTGACCCTGGGCAAGTCACTTAACCCCAATTGCCTAAAAACAAAAAAAAAAAAATTACGAAATTATGAAATGGGGGCAGAAACACCCAGTTCTTTGGGTACTTGCTGAGAAAGACCATAATTGACAGAAAGAATCGGCCCAGCAGCTATTTAATAAGGCATAGAGACGAGTAGGTAAAACTGGTACAGAGGCAGATGGCATAGCTCGGCGCCGGGGAATGGGAAGGTAAAGGGAGGCAGTGTGAGGAAGAGGATGAGGAGCAGGAAAGGCAGAGAATTTCACTCTTGTAACCATGGATTAGAGTTGGGAGTACTCAGCAACATGGACCCAAATGGAGATGGAAGAGTGCTGGGCATGGGGGGAACAGGAGTTTGAGGTCTCATTTTATAGGTTTTTGGGGGAAACAGATCAACTCTTATCTATGCCATCTTAGGATTAGTTCATTAACATGTCCAAAATCATCTCAAAGTTATCAGCATCTTTTTGATATTCTGTGGGTCTGGAACTATGCAGGTCTGGAATTTGTCAGGTATTTACATATCATAAGACCAGAACCTTGATAAGCAGCACCTAATGGTTTCCCCTGATTCAGTACATATTACCAGGATGAGAATTTTCATTAATATATGATACAATTGGTAAATTATGTTCCTTTGATTTTTTTGGGACAGTTTGTATGTGACTTACAAAAGGTTCCCCTTTGAAATCTTATTTCCTACTAAAACTTATTCTACTGACTAGAAGCTAGGACTGGGTTGGGGTGGGGGGGACCAGAACAAGATATAATTTTAACACAGAGATAGTAAGAACAGTTAGCATTTATATAGCACTTTAAGGTTCACAAAGCACTTTAAAAATACTATCTTATTTTATCTTCATAATAACCCTTGCAGGTAGTTAGTATTACTGTCCACATTTCACAGATGAGGAAACAGAGGCAGAGAGATTAAGTGACTTGCCCAGGATAACACAGCTTAGTAAGTGTCTGAAGCTGTCTTTCCTGACTCTTGGTCCAGCACTCTGTCCACTGGGCCACTTAAAAATCCTTTATAACCTATTCCACTCCAGGACTCAGTGCCATTTTCAACCTGCCTGACCATAATCTCTTTAATTCAAATTATGCTGACTGAGCTTTTAGATTCACAGGTAATGTAAGGACCAGTGGATACAGAGATTTCAAGGTAGGTAGTATAGGTATTATTAGTCCTATTTTACATATAAGAAAAATGAGACTTACAGGGATAACATTACACAGGTGGTTAAGTAGCCAAGCTAAGATTTGAGCTCAAGTCTCCTGGTTCAAAACCCAGCATCCTTTCCACAAAAGGCAACTGACCTCCCTAAATTCCTCCGGTTGGTTCCCAGATATATGCTCAAGGGGGACCAAGTGAAAGCATGGGTTAGAGTGAAGCCTTTCCCAAAGTCAGAAAAAAACTCAGAACACATTCTTTCCTGACAAGGGAAGACATTTATCTCATCTTCATGTATTAAAGAACATATTTTTCCCTTATGATTCTTCCAGGTCAGGATTTGTTACACTTCCTAAACTTACTTACTCAGTGGTTTGGAATTCCTAGATCTTGTCTATATAGTTGTCATCCCAAAACAAAACAAAAAGCCTGGGACAACAGAGATCTGAGCCTAGGATCTAGCCCTCCACTCTATCCCACTTCAGGAGCAGTGTTCTTCTCATCCTGACTGACCACATTCTCATTTTAATTCGAATGACCCTGGGTGAGCTTTACAATTCAGAGGGAATGCAGAGACCAGTGGATGGAGGGATTTCAAGGAAAGTAAAGAAGAAAGATCATGAATTAGGACACACTCTCACCTCACTCTTTTTGCCTATCACAAGGGGGCAGCCTCGTAGAGAAGGAAGAGGGATGAACTTCCAGATTTCACATCCACCTCTGACTTAGGAGCTAGGAACCTACAGCAAACACTTTATCTCTCAGAGCCACAGTTTCCTCATCTACAAAAAGTTGGTAATACTATTTGTGCTACTTATGCCTCAAGGTTATAGTGAGGCTAGTGCTTTATAGGTGCTACAGAAATGTGAGTGGTTATATTGCTGCTATTCCTAAGTAAAACTTTCAAGTCCATGACCTAGCCCCCTTATTCCACCTCTCTTGGCATAAACCTCATCTTTGCTTCCTTTAAGTGCCCAGCGCCCACAACCATTCACATTCCTCATCAAAATCTGTTCTCAGGAAAGGATCTTGCCAACACATTCACGCTAATATATTAATGAAGGGCTGGACCACATATTCATTCTGTTTATACATGTAAATACATACATATATTTATATTATACACATACACACATTGTTTCCTTTTATTGAATATAAGCTCTTTAGGGGAAAGAAATGTTTGATTTTTGTCTTTATATCTCCAAGGCCAAGAACAGTGTCTGACATACAGGAAGAGCTTAATAAATGCTTGTTGATTGATTGTCCTAAGTACAAATCCTGTTTGCCTCAGTTCCTCATCTGAAAATGAGCTGAAGAAGGAAATGGTAAACTGATCCAGTATCTTG